GTCCTTGGGGAATGCTGCAGGTGGGTCTCCAGCAGGGAATATCCTTGGGGAATGCTGCAGGTGGGTCTCCAGCAGGGAATGTCCTTGGGGAATGCTGCAGGTGGGTCTCCAGTGGGGAATGTCCTTGGGGAATGCTGCAGGTGGGTCTCCAGTGGGGAATGTCCTTGGGGAATGCTGCAGGTGGGTCTCCAGCAGGGAATGTCCTTGGGGAATGTTGCTTCCCTGTGGGGCTTGGAGCTGGGGGTTGATTTGAGGATCTGTGGTAGAACATCCTGGGTGGGAAAGCTCCTCAGGCCTGGGAACAGGTGCTTGGATAGGAGCAGCTGATGCTTTCTGTGCCTGCTCTTCATCCCTGGGATGAAGGAACACGAGCCTGAGCTGGTTTCCAAAAAGCCAAAACAGGAGCCAGGTGCTGAGCCCTAGACCCGGGAGGACGTGCTGTTCATGAGCTGGAGCATCTCCTCAGGGTGGTCCAGGGTGGAATTGCCATGGGAAGGGTTGGTGAGGTTACTCCTCCTTTGCCTGGTGAATATTGGAGAGCCAGGCTGCTCTCCCTGGGCAAAAGCTGCGCAGAGCTCCCGAATCCGCCTGGATTTGTGGTGGTTTGGCTGCTGCCAGCACAGTCTCACTGTATTAAACAGCTTTTACGTTTGACCCACAAATCTTTCTAATTATTACTAATCGTGGATGATTAAATGAAGTTATTGGCTGGGGTTTTAACGAGGTTTCCTCCTCCTCCTCCTCCCTCGCTGTCAGCCACGCTGGGAGCTCTGGAGTTCAGCCTGCTCTACGACCAGGACAACAGCTCCCTGCACTGCACCCTCATCAAGGCCAAGGCAAGAGCTCTTCTTTTCCCCTCCTTTTTCCCTGCTTAAAATCCATCTGGCTCCCAGTTTCTCTGGTACAATGGGATGGAAGCCATGTGGCTGCTGGCAGAGGCTGCTCCCTTGGGAGAGCCCATCCACAGCTGCTCCCGGCTGGGGAGGGTTGGGGGAGCTTTTCCTTGTGTGGCTCCAAGAGATCTGTGGGAGAACAGTCCTCCCAGAGAAGCTGTGGCTGCCCCTGGATCCTGGAAGTGTCCAAGGACAAGTTGGACAGGGTTTGGAGCAACCTGGGACAGTGGAAATGTCCCTGCTCATGGCAGGGTGTGGAGCTGGCTGATATTTGAAGTCTCTTCGAGCCCAAACCATCCTATGATTCTACAACTCTGATTTTTCCAGGGATGGGTCGGATGTTTCAGCGCATCCTGGCACCCACAGCTGCTCGGGGCAGAGTCTCTTGGGTCACTGAACACATTTTCTCTTGGGGTTTTTCATGGGCAGATTTTCCTCTGCCTTGTCTTTGCTGAAGGAGGATTCACGCCCTGTGTTTCCTTTAACCTTTTTTAGGGCTTAAAACCAATGGATTCCAATGGCCTGGCTGATCCCTACGTGAAGCTGCACCTCCTGCCTGGAGCCAGCAAGGTGAGGCTTTGCCAGGTTTGGTGCTGGGGATGGAGCAGAGGTTTCTCAAATCCCTCTCAGGTCCCTCCCTCGGATCCGGTTTTCCCCGTTGATTTCTGCTGTTTTCCCCCGGGGGTTTCTCCGAACAGGGAGGATGCTCCCAGATGCTCTCCCAGACCCGAGGAACAGCTCATCCTGCAGGCAGGAATCTGCTCAGGGATGGAGGGGAGCTCCAGAGGAGGCATTGCTGTTAATGCATCACAAAACATCTGCCCAAAAAAATCTAATTATGGCCAGAGTTGGAATTATCCGTTTGCTTGGGAGCTGCAGCACGTTTGGAGCTGTGGGGGGAGAACCGTGCTGGAAGCTCTGGCTCCATCATGGGAATTCCTGGAAATCTCCCTCCCCAGCCCAGCTGAGCTGATCTTGGTGGGCAAATCTTGAAGGAATCACCACCACCAGCAGTGCTGGCTCATTGCTTAGAGGGCGCAGCAGGGTTTTGCTCAGAGGATCCAGGAGTAAAACCAGGGGAAAACTGATAATAATAAAATCATTGGATTGATTTTACAACTCTGCTTTATGCACAGGGGATTCCTGCTCTTGTTCAGGGGAAATCCAGGTGTGATGTTGGGAACAGATTTGATTTCTGTTGCTCTCATCTCCTGAAATTTATTTTAGTGGTGTTTTTTTTTAAATTTTGAATGTATGGTTGTGAAAGACACACAAGCGAGTGACAGCTCCTCATTTTCCTGCTGTCACCGCCTTTAAACCATGAAAGCTGTGACCTCACAGCCTGCCCTGGGTGCCCTTTTCCCTCTCCCTGAGGGAATAAACCCCAGGGAGTGACAAAATCCAGGCTCTCCCAGCCACCACGTGCCACCAAACCCCCGGTGCTTGCGCAAAGTTCCACCGTGACACTCCCGTGGAGCCGCTGGCCCAGCATCACCCAGCTGTGCCAGATGTGATGGGGCATCCCTGCCAGGAGCTGGGATTTGGGCAGGGAGGAACTCCGGGCTGTAATTCCCCCGTGTTTACTCCACCCCGCAGTCGAATAAGCTGCGGACGAAGACGCTGCGCAACACCCGGAACCCCGTGTGGAACGAGACCCTGGTGTACCACGGCATCACCGATGAGGACATGCAGAGGAAAACCCTCAGGCAAGGCCAGCAGGAGCCCAGGGATCCCACGGGAGGCTGGGATGGGAGCTGTGGATGTCACCCAGGAGTGCGCGGCGGGGCTGGGGCAGCGGGAAATACGGATTTGGGTTAAAATCAACGTGAGGTTGCTCATTTGGATGGTTCTTCTAAGAGAGGAAGACTGGTGTTTTGACCTTGTCATTTAAGTGATTATAAATGAATTAAAATGTATATTATTTATATTATATATAATTTATATATATTTATATTATAAATAAATTATAATTTATTATAATCAATAATTGTTAATTATAATCAATATGTAATTATAATTCTATAATTGTTATATATTATAATATATAATTATATTATTATAATTATAATCAATAATTATAGATTATAATTTTTATCATCATAGAGATGTGTATCTCTGCTGATTTGACAACAGCCCAGAAAAAAAAAGTCCATACAAATAGCTCTCAAAATTTGTGACTCTTTCTCCCCTCAATACACTTCCACCTCTTGATTTCTTGCTCCATCACAAAGCAAATATTTAAAAAGTTGATTTTTAAAATAATTTCTTTTTACTTTTTTAATTTTTTTTTTTGGCAAGCTATCAATTTGGGTGTTGTTTGCTTTTGGTCGGAGGAAATCCAGATCAAGGGTGGGTTTGGGGGGAGGATTTGTTTTGCTTTTTGCTTTTCCCTCCCCCCAGCAGGGGTGGGTTTGGCTCTGGAGTCAGACACTGCTCCATGGCTGATGTTCCCCTTTCCCTTCTTCCCTCCAGGATCTCCGTGTGTGACGAGGACAAATTCGGCCACAACGAGTTTATCGGAGAAACCAGAGTTGCCTTGAAAAAACTCAAAGCCAACCAGAAGAAGAACTTCAACATCTGCCTGGAGAGAGTAATACCAGTGAGTGTCCGTGAAAATTCCTTCTGTTCCCATTGGGATTGAAAACAAATGGCTCCTGAGGGATGCAGGGAGGGGCTGGAGGTGCCTGACTTCTCCAGCACCTTTAGGAGTTGGATTCCCACCTGTGCCTGGGCTGATGTGACATCCCAAGGCCAGGAGATGAGGGTGTGGTGGGAATCCATGGGAAGTGACTCCAGGGCCTGCTCCTGCTGGCACTGCCAGCCCCTGCGGGTGGATGGCACCGTGGAGGTTGCTCTGTCCCCTGCTGGATCTCCTGGGGTGGGGGCTGATGGAGCAGACGGACATTCCTGAGGCTCTTCCACTCCAGAGTGCAGGGCAGGAGCTGCGCTGCCGGCATTCCCAGGTTTTTTTGCTGTGGGATGGTGCCTCTCCCAGTCATTCACGGCAGTTTCCTTATCCCTTTCCCATCGCAGACGAAGCGCACCGGAACGACCGGCGCATCCCGCGGGATGGCTCTGTACGAAGAGGAGGTGAGTCCTCGGAGCGGGACAGTCTCCATCCACGTCCCATCCCTCGTGTACAACCCCGTTATCCCCCGCGGTCACGGAGATCCGACATTCCCTGGTATCCATCTCACCCCTCCTGCTCCCCCGCTGAGTTCTTCCTGGCCCGGCTCCTCCACGCCCGCCTCTCCCGCAGGTGGATCGCGGTGGGGACGTGGAGGAGCGCGGGAAGATCCTGGTGTCCCTCATGTACAGCACCCAGCAGGGCGGGCTCATCGTGGGCATCGTGCGCTGCGTGCACCTGGCGGCCATGGATGCCAACGGATACTCGGATCCCTTCGTCAAGCTGTGAGTGAGCCGGGAACGGCTCCGGGCTGGAGCGCGCGGCCGTGGAGCCGCCTGCTGTGCTCCTTCCTCTGGAGGCCTCGCGCAGCGGTGTCCCCGCTGTGGGTGGGGCTCAGGGGTGCTGAGCCAGCCCTTGGGTGTGTCGCTCCCCAAGTGCCCGGATCCCCTGGGAACCTCATGGAGAACCCCAGGATTGTTAAAGGCTGGGAAAGACTTTGGGAGTCCGACCTTTGGCTGGTCACCTTGTGTCTGCAAACAAAGGAGGTGTGGGGGTGGGTTTGGGGCTGCAGCCCAAGGTGGAGGTGCCCAACTTCCCCGGGATCTGTAGGAGTGGGATTCCCACCCATGACCCATCAAGGGCTAGGTGGAAATCCAGGGACAGTGGAAGCTGGAGGACAGGGGGTCCTTCTCTCCACCTCTGACCCACCCTGGCTGCAGGACAGAGGTGGCTCCGTGTCCCTCCGTGCCCCACTTGCTGCCCCATAAACCCACGTGGGAATGTGGGGGAATAAGGTTTTTATTCCGACCTCGTGAGCTGCACCACGGAAAGGTCCCTGCAGCCATTCCTGGTGGGGGCTTTTGCACCTGTTTTTTAACTTTGCCTTCAGAAAAAAACCCTCTGCTCTCCATAAAACTCATTCAGTAATTCTCATGTTGAGCACATTCTGCTCATCTTTTTGTAGCTCGGTGGAACTGAGCAGTTTCCCTTCCCGGTCTCTCTTTATTTGTAGTATTCTCCATTTCCACAAACAGAAGATGGTGGCTTTACGTTTTTAAATCGGTTTCTAACAGAGATCTAATTAATCCCAGCTCTAAATTGAGTTCTGGATCGGCAGCCAGGCTGCACAGCCCCAGCCCCACACTTTTCCCACATCCTCTGGAAGGTGGGAAGGGAGACTGGCCCTAAATAAATCTCTTCCAGCCCAGAAACGCACTTTTTAAGCTTATAAACTCCCACTCTTCTTGCACTTGAATTTTGAGCTGTTTCCTGTTGCCCCCAGTTGGCTGAAACCTGACATGGGCAAAAAGGCCAAGCACAAGACGCAGATTAAGAAGAAAACGTTGAATCCTGAGTTTAACGAGGTATGGATGGGTATTTTTTTAATTATTAAATCAATCCACTGAAAACCGTGTTGAGTGGAGGAGGTGGAAGACAAAATCCCCAAGGCTTGGCCTCTTTGCTCAAGCTCCTTTCCCACTCCTGTGCTCGGGAATATTTTGGGAATGACTTTGCCATGGCAGCACCACACCCCCTGGAAGCTCCCTGCTGCCGGATCCGTGCCATCCCAGCTGCGGATGTGGGTGGGATGAGGGTGGAAACTGGAAATTCTCCACTGGAGCTGCTTTGATGGGACACCTGGGAAGGGCTCACGTAGGTGCAAGGGGTGAGCTCAGCTCCTGGAAAAGCCACAGGGAAGGAGCGTTTTTTCCTTCGTTAATTGTATTTTAACCATCCTCTCCTTGGATTTTGAATCCAGGCTGGACAGAGATCGGGTCCAACCCTTTAACTGCAGCTTTTAGGGTGTGTCTTCCTTTGGGGCTCACACTGGTGTTCCCATTCCTGCAGGAGTTCTTCTATGACATCAAACACAGCGACCTGGCCAAGAAATCCCTGGACATTTCCGTCTGGGATTACGACATCGGAAAATCCAACGACTACATCGGTGAGTGCTGAGCTGCAAGTCTGCCCTCTGGGGCACGGCTTTGGTGCCTGGTGTGGGGTTTGCTGGATGGGAGGGGGGTCTAGATCACCTGCCCAGGTGGGATGATGGAATCTGGCACCGCCCCTGGAAGGTCTTCTGGGCAGGAAAAGCATCTCCAGGTGCTTCCATTCGATTTTTGATCCAGGAGGTGGAAAAAGCCTTGTGGGGTGTGAGGTGTGATTTCCTGGAATCACCTCTGGACACAAACTCCTCTCCCCTTTTCCCAGGCGGTTGCCAGCTGGGCATCACGGCCAAGGGCGAGCGCTTGAAACACTGGTACGAGTGTTTGAAGAATAAGGACAAGAAGATCGAGCGCTGGCACACCCTGCAGAACGAGAACCACGTCGCCAGCGATTAAAGGGAGCCCCTGCCCGGCTCTCCCCACCCTCTGCCACGCCCCTCTAGGTCCCTGATGTCCCTGGTGTCCCGTCTTCCAGCGCAGCCACGCCTTGCTACAGCCTCTGATCCCAGGGTCCTCCACCTCCCCCGAGCCCCCTCCACCCTCCCTTCCACTGAAAACTCCCCCAGATCTTTTCTATTCCCCCTTATTTATTTTCAGCTGGGGGAGGGAGGCCGTTGAGTTCCCCTGGTGTGTAATTTTGGCAAGCAATAGTTCCCTCCTGACTGTTCCCCTCTCTCTCTCCCTCCCCGGTCCACGTGGCAGCGTCCCCGTCGCGTTTCTGACGCTCTGTGTCCTTCCAGCCTCTGCTCCCGGCAGCTCCGGTGTCTCCCGGCGGGAGATGGGAGTGCTGGGCTTGGGAGCATCAGCCTGTCCTGCTTGTGTGATCTCAATACCTCAGTTGCAATAACGAAAAAGCTCCTTGGCTTTGGTGTGGGTGTCACCGTCGCCTGGTGTCCGTGTCGTCGTGGTTAGGCCAAATCCGGTGTCACCGGCCTCATCCTGCGAGTCCTGCTTGAGCTTCACCTCCGGTTTGGCCCACCTGAGCAATGTTGTGGCACATCCTTTTGCTGAGAAGATCCACCACCAACACAGTAACAGCGACGAGGAAGGGCTTAGGGAGCTCTGTGCCCGCAGGGAAGCAGGTTTGGGTTGGTTCCCGTCGTTTCCGGCCACCGCGGGCGGTTCCTTCGCCCGAGGAATTCGGGGGCTCTGCTGCTGTAGGAGCCCGGCTGTGTTTTAGGGTTGTGACTACCTCCTCTTCACCTCTGAGCTGTGTAGTAGCGACTGGCCCAGCCCTGCAGGCGGCCCCTGGGTCCCCTCAGACCCCTCCTGCTTCCAAGGATTTTCTGTTCCTCAGGAGGGAAGCTGAGGGAGCTGCTACTTCCTCCCAGCCCCCTGATGTGTGCAAGGATTATTGCTTTAAACCACCCCAACTCCTGGAATTAGCTGGAACGGTCCAAGATCTTCCAGGCTTGGGTTGTTTTGGTTTGGTTTTCTTTCATTTTTTTTTCCCCCAATTTTCTGCACAAGAACCTTTGGCCTCAGCCTGCTCTGATGGCCTGGACATCAGGAGAGCACAGGCAGCTGCAGGAACCATTCCCAGGCTCTGGAACCTCTCTGGAACCATTCCCAGGCTCTGGAACCTCTCTGGAACCGCTCTGGAACCGTTCCCTGACTCCGGAACCGCTCCAGAACTGCTCTAGAACTGTTCCCTCACTCTGGAACCGCTCCGGAACCACTCTAGAACCGTTCCACGCTCTAGAACCGCTCTAGAACCGTTCCACGATCTAGAACCGCTCTAGAACCGCTCTAGAACCGTTCCCTGCTCTAGAACCGCTCTAGAACCGCTCTAGAACCGTTCCCCACTCTAGAACCGCTCCGGAACCACTCTGGAACCGTTCCCCACTCCGGAACCACTCTAGAACCGTTCCCTGGCTCCGGAACTGTTCCCTGGCTCCGGAACCGTTCCCTGGAAAACCCCGAGCACAGCCCTGTGGATAGGAGCACACTGAGCACTATGGAATATACGGAACTTTTTGTCACACCTCGCATGTTGTGTGAAACCTCCCCTGCCCCCTCTGCTGCAGCTGCTCACTCTTTGAGTTGGATGAGTTCTGTTTTCCAGACGTTTTCTGCGTTTCCCCTGTCCCCCAGCAGAAACTGATGTGCCCCGGGTGTCCCCAGCCCTGGGTGACACAAACCCCTCTGTGCTGAGCTGGCCCAGCCTGGCCCTTTCCCTCCTTGGATCTCCAGGTGAGAAAAGCCAACCCAACCCCTCCCAGAGCTGGGAATCCTCTTCCATCACTCCACTGAGCTTGGACAGAGGGATGGAATGGAAGAGGAAACCTGGAATTTTCCCCATTTTCATGGAATTCTTGCCTCTGTGCCAGTCAAGGTGAGATCCCTGACTCTGGCCAGGACCCAGCCTGGAACAATCCCGTTCTTTTGGACTGTTTCTCTCTGCATCCCGTGCTGATGCCTCCCTGCTCCCAGTGAGCTGTGGGATCCAGGATCTCCCTTTTCCTACCTCAATAACTCTATAATAACCCTTAATAAATCTAATAATAAGATGTCACTGTCCTTTCCAGAGGGATGGATCTGGCCCAAACATTCTTGTTCATACCCAGAGCAGCACCTGGGCACAGAGCTGTGCTGGGGAAATGTGTGGCCGAGGGTAAAAAAAAACCAAAAAACTTTAAAAGTCATTATTTAAGCAATCCTTTAATTTCTCCCAGTCCTGCAGCAGCCCAGCCTCCTTTGTATGTGCAGAACAACTCACTTAAGGTTACCCTTATCCCACCCTGTATTCCCATTCCCTGGTCAGCCTGCTTTCTTTGGGAAAAGGATACTCAGATCATCTCTTTGCACCTCCAAAAATCAAGTGCAACTTGCCAAACTCCTCGGTATTGTGCAAAACCACGGTCCTGGTCTCTGCCCCCCTCCCCGCCCTCTTCTCAGTTTTTCTGATGGATGGTAATTCCTGCCCTGAATGACTTCTTTTTGTTGTAAATAAAGCATGCACCTATGGATTGGGAATGGTGAAAAACAAACAAAACAAACAAACATAAAAAAGCAAAAAAAAAAGAAAATGAAAAGCCTCTTCTACTGCTGTTTGCATTCAGACTCGCATGCAGTGATTTTACAGCCAAATATCAGTTTACAACTGTTGAGAGAAAATGTTACACAGGAATTAGGAATCCTCCAGTCTTCCGCTGCATGCAGCACAACATCCTCTCTTGATGTGGTATCTAATAAAGTGAGACTATTGGAAAAAGAATAAAAACCACACGGGTTTTTTTTCCTTCTTTCACTCCCTGTGGGAACAGGAACCTCATGGGTTGGGCAGAGGGCCTGGTTCTGGGAATTCCTGCGGGGCTGGGGCTGCTGGAATTGGCATTGGGCTCGAGATGTTGAGGAGCTGGGGGTGGTTGTGGGGGGAAGATCCTGGATCCTCCTGGGGGATAGCAGGAATTCCTGGTTTTGGGAAAATCCTGGGTAAAATCGTGCAGGTTTAAATCATCCATGAGCTGCCCCCTCGATTGGTGCCTGGGGGTGAAGGCCCCGAGGAAAAGCAGGAGTGGTGGTGGGAGGCTTTTTTCCCCTCTCAGTGCCCTCCCTCACCCCCAGTTTGGGGAGCAGGAGCCGCTCCCTCGGGTGGTGGCAGCTCCCGTTGTGCTGCTGCTCAACCAAGCAACGATTTCCTTTTATTTCCCTTTTATTTCCTTTTATTTATTTCCCTTTATTTCCTTTTCTTTATTCCCTTCATTTCCTTCTATTCCCCCTTTATTTCCTTCTTTTATTCCCTTCTATTTCCTTTTACTTTCCGTTTATTTCCTTTTATTTCCTTTTTATCCCCGCCTTTATTTATTTTTATTTCCTTTTTATTTATCTCCTTTTATTCTGGAGTTTTTAGGCTGGGTTTAGGCTGGTGGGAGCCCCCGGGCGGTGCCATCGTGGGGTGGGGACCGGTGGCGATGCCCAGAGACAGCAGCAGATGTCACCGGAGCTCCAGGGATGGAGCGGGAAGGAGGTGCCGGAAGGACATCCCGCTGTTTCCAGGGATTTGGGAATTTCGGGGGATAATCGCAAAAAAAAAAAAAAAAATAAAAATAAAAGCCGCTCCTAACGCTGCTTCTCTTCCAAACCTTCAGTGGCAGGGAAGAGTTGTGGCTTTGTACTCTGGGGAAAAACGCCCTCAGCAGCCTTTAAATTGAGTTTTAACTTCTTTTTAATGTTTTTGTTTTCCAGCGTCGGGTTCTTCTCGTTGATTTTTCCTCCTCTTGTCCCTTTCCTGCCCAGCAGAGAAATCCCAGTGGAGGAATCCCGGTCCCACCCGAGACCTCCCAGCCAAGAAATCCAACCCAGGAGGTTCCAGCAGAGAAACCATCCAGCTCCAGAAGAAGACTGGGATGAGGATTCTCTGGGATGAAGGTGTTGAGGTGTTTGTGGATGGTTTCGAGTTCCTGAATGGAAAATTATTCCAAAGAGGGAAAGAGGGATTCTGCGCAAATCCATGGGAATAAAAGAGAATCCTTTACGCCCTCTAATTCCCGTTTCTTCTCCCGTTTTGAGAGGATCCTTCACACTCTCTAATTCCTATTTCTCCTCCTGTTTTTTTTCTCAGCCTCTCTGGAAGGGAATTCCTTGGATTGCAAATTGGGCTTGTTCAGGACCATCCTTTGAATCTCCTGCTCCTGCAGGTGGCTTCCCAGCTTTAATTCCATCTGGGCACCTCTGAACCATTCCGCTCTTCCAGCCGCTTTTTTTCCTGGTGTGCCCATGGGATTTGCACCTTTGGAGCAACCAATGGATTCTCATCCCGGTTCTGGCCTGTCAGGAGCAGGAATTTACAGTGCTTGGGAAAGCCATCCCAGTTTGCTCTTCATGCAGGGGGTGGGAAATGGGGATGGCAGCAGCACCTTTAGCAGCTGCCAGGACCTCAGGCAGGTCCTTGGCTGATCTGGGAGAGGCGCCAGGACCATCCCTGGAGAAAAGCCATGGGATGGAGGTGTTGGAAAAGCCTTGGGCTGTTGTTGCACTCCTCTGAAATCCAGCCTGGCTCCTCTGCGAGGCTCTCGTGGCTCCAGGAGGTCCCAGCAGCACCCAGTGACCAACTCAGGCCCGTCAGTGCTGTTTTCTGATTATCTCCTAAGGATAATTCATTAAAACTTCCACGTTACGGAGCTCTCCTCATCTCCTGCCTGATCCTGGAGCAGGAGAGAAACATTCCCTGGCTTCCCATCTCCTGGGAGGGGTGGAAAAAAAAGAAATAAACCAAGCATTTTCCTCTTTAACATTTCACTTAAAAAACCAGAGGAGCTCAAATAAATAAATCCCTCCTCTATCCGCTTTGGAGCCCAGCTTTTCCAAAAGCCAGCAGGGAGAAATCTCTTTATCTCCCAGGACAGAGATAACAATGTAATTACGAGCTGGGATCAATGGCTTTCATCTCCTCAGTCCTCAGCACAAAATAAACTCTTTTCTTTCCTCTCTGGTGCCCAGCGCTTGGCTACCACCTCCTCTGGGCTACTGGCCACTGCCATGGTGAAGGATCTGGAGAGGTTCCTGGAGGAAGCTGAGTTTTGGGATGGTTTTTTTCCACAGGGGAATGTTGGATCTTGAGTGGGAGAGGCCAGTGGAGACCCTCAGGGGGCTGCAGAGTGGGAGGGTGGCTTGGGGCTGTTGGGGAGAGGTGTGGGAGGAGCTGCTGTAAATCCTGGGTTCCAGCAGACTCCACGCCCCAAGAAAAGTACCGTGGGATCGTGGGAACTGGAAAAGGAAAGGGAGTCTGGTTAAACACAGCCTGGATATGAACTGGGCATAACGGTGACTGGTTTGTACTGGGAGAGGCCCCAGGAGATGGAGTGGGAATGAGGGATGGGATGGGATGGGATGGGATGGGATGGGAATGG